CAGTGTTACACATACACAGACATCAGACTTATTTTTCAACAAAAAAATTGAAGACATTCTTGAGAAATCATCAACAACTGTAAAGAAAGATATATTACCATCAAAAGTTGCCTTCTTATATGGACCCCAAACATCCAAGTGAATCAGTTCAAAGGACTCAGTACTTTTAATACTACTAACAGGAAATACACTTCTTGTTTGTTTTGCATAAGGATACACACTACATTTATTCAAAACTCTGTTCATACAATCTGAGTTTACAGGGAACAACTTGTTCAAAACGTGAGATGACACATGTCCTAGTCTCTTATGCCATACACACACCTCCTCTTTTGACAATTGTTTTTCCCTTTCCTCTCTTTCTGTCATCATACAAGACTGGTGTGTTGTCTGATCCTGTGTAAGATTCTTCAGTAGCAAGTACAGCCCATCACTTTCTTTACCAATCGCCTTCACCTTGCCAGTGTAAAGCTCCTGAAACACACAAAAATGTGGAACGAAAGTGACTGAGCAACCTAACTCCTTAGTCATCTTGCTTACTGACAATAAATTGTACTTAAATTCTGGAATGTGAAATACATCTGTAACTATAATTGTTGGAGATATGTGACAAGAACCAGTATGAGTCACATAGGCCACTTCACCATTAGGTAAGGATACTGGTTTTGGACATTTAACCTCTACTACAGACTCTTTTTTAAGCATACCAATTTTCGAAATCATATGACTTGTTGCCCCTGTATCTATGATCCACACATCATTATTTTTAGACACTAATAGAGCCTTACCTGTTGCATTAGTCTGAACTTCATGAGCCTGAACTCCATGAGCTTGAGCTAGATTTCCTGTGTTTGCAGTCCCTTTATTCTGCTTAAGCATTTGTAGTATTTCGCTGTATTGCTCTCTGGTAAAAGTGCAACCTTGCAGGTGTTTTTGCACACTCATCTTCTTCATTATTCCCATCAAATGACTTGCCAGTTGTACCAGGAACATTTGTGTTAAATCGATAGTTAAATTATGTAGAGCTATCAGACACACCATCATATGCCTCTCTTTTTGTATTACTAGATTTATTCACCACCATGTAGGTGTCACGACCCGAGCCTGCACCCTGGACGTGGTCGGCACTCAAAGACCATTGTTGGTCCCCAAGTGAACCCTCATCCTGGCAGACTACAAACGGAACTAATTCAACCATACAAAGCTTAAAAACTGAAATAAAAGTTCATAAAACTTAAATACAAACTTTAAGTCCAAAGAAAACTCTATATAATAAAATATATACAACTCGCCATAAAAAGGCAACTTTAATCTTTAAAACATTTAATAAAATAAATGATACAGACTTCTCAACTATACTGACTATCTATGAAGCCTCTAACTGATAAAGATGGAAGTCGGGACAAGACCCACGACATCCTAACAACTGATATAACTGAAAGGTAAATGAAATCCTCCGAATGCAAGGAGGCTCACCATAGCTAACTCGAACTCTCGGATGTATCAATGAAGCTCCTGTTAATGATCCTGAATACCTGTGTCTGCATCATGAGAAGATGCAGGCCAAATGGCTCAGTACGTGGAATGTACGAGCATGTAAGAGGAATTCTAAAACATAAACATAAGATTGAAACTTGATAGAAATGAAACATACTTACCTCTTCTCAAACTTACTCAACTCAAGGAATACTCAAGGGTACTCAAAACTACTCAAACTTACTCAACTCAGAAGTACTCAAGGATAAGATACTCAACTCCGAGATTAGATACTCAACTCAAGGATATGATATTCGACTCAAAGATATGATATTCAACTCTGGATACTCAACTTTGAATACTCAACTAAATATGACTGAACTCATTTCAATATAAAGCAATTTAAAACAAGTGCAATATAAAGAAACAAACTTTTTAAAAACATGCTGTCAAATCTGTGTGTATGCAAGGATACAACATAACTCTGAAATGTATATAAAAATACAATAAACTGATGTATATAAAAATACAATAACTTCTGTGGGAGTTTCTCTAACCGACAACCATCACATAAGAGCTATAGTGATGATACAGCGATCTACCTCATGCTGCCAGCGCATCCTATACCCGGCCAAAGGTATAGGACCTGAACTACTAATGGATCCACTAGTCTATGTGAAAAAGGTTCATCTAAAAAGTATGACCCTTTTCTACCCATGATGGCTACATGGTTTATGGGGGCTGTGAGTTGTGTGAACTCTCCCCCATATCGGTGCTCAATACTATTCCCAAAAATATACTAGCTCTTATGTTTGAAAAACATACTTCTTTCTGCTGCTTTGAGATAATTGCTCAAAAACTTAGCTTAAAGGCTATCTTGGAAATCTCAGTTTCCCTACTTGCTTCATTTAGAAAGCTATTACTCTTTTCTGAAAACTAGCCCGAAGGCCCTTTAGAAATCTCAATTTCCATTGTTATTTAAATGTGAAAACATTTATAAACTCTTTGGGAATACTTAGCCCCCTTATACTTTTGAAGAAAAGGACTTCAAACTTTACTCTTCACTCTTTAATTACTGAACTCAAAGCTTAAGTCTTAAAACAAAGGTAAAACATTTGTAAAAGACTTCTTAAAATGTGGTTCGTGTCGAATGATGGACATGAACGACTCAATGCAAGGTTTTCAATAACCACAGATAAAACTCAAATACTTGGAACTCAAGAACTTTAATAATACTACTCATTTGAAGAATGCTCAACTCAGAGGATTCATGCGGAATTATGACCATGAACGACTCAACTCAAGGACTCAAAGATACTTCTCTTCTCAAGATTGCTCGACTCATAGGATTCATGCGGAATTATGGGCATGAACAATTCAACTCAAAGACTTTATGGGTAACATGTAATAGTCTCATGCTTAGAAATATAATCTCAAAGGGTATTAGGAACTCAATACTCAAGACTTAGAACTTGAAGATACTACTCCTCTCAAAGATACTCAACTTCTGGAGTTTATGCGGAATTTATGGGCATGAACGACTTAACTCGTAGGTCTACATAACATTATGAAACTCATGTATGTGACTCTTCTCATTCTCTGACTTACTTCCTCAAAACTTAGTTCAAATCGATAGTTGATCTCAAAGGATTCACAATTGAACTCAAAGGCTTTCTTGAACTCTACTCTTAACTCTCTCTTGAATTTGAATTATGAATTCAAGAGTTATGATTCATGATATGAAGGATCTCAATAACAATATAGCAATTCGATAATTAGGAATATAACTTTTAAAAGAAACGTGAATTCAAGAACTCAAAATCAACTTATCTCGAGAATACTCAAATCCAGGAAAAGTATCTTAGATTACTCTTTTACTAATCTGAAAGTAGAGGTAGGGCGTGAGGACGAACTAGTCCAACACTATGATAGTCTTACATACCTAGAAGAACAAGATTCTTGAAGAATCTTGAAGAATCTCTAAGAATCTTGAAGAAGAACTTGATTAGAAGCCTTGAAACCCTAGCTTGAAGGTAAACAATCAAGAAGACCTTTCTTGAGATTCTCGAGTTAATTTCTTAAAATCTCTATAGCCAAAAATTATGTTTTTCATGAGTGAAGATGAAAATCTGATTGTTTTGAGCTTTTTAATTAGTCAAGAAATTCGTTGATGGTTTTCTTGGAGGAAAAAAGACAAAAACAATTATTTTCAATATTTTCCCGTCGGCTAATTCGTAACAGCACTGCATAGGTTACTAAAATAGTCAGAACTTTTTACTAAGATATTGGATTGACGTGAAACTGGTGGGGTTGGAAAGTAGATTCAATTACCTTTAATTGGATAGGTTATGGCTCACGTAACTCGTAATATTCTAAGAGATATGGTCGTTTAAAGTTGACCCAAGCAGAATCTTACATCAAAACTTAATGAAACTTCAAGAACACTTATCAAGAACTCATCAAGAACTCTAATCTTTAAATTTCAAGAACAAAATTACGCTGAATAAATCATGATTGGTGTGTGGGTGAAAGAACCCAACACTATGGAAGCTTACATACCTCTTAGGGATTAAACCCATGGCGAAAATCCGCAACAAGATGCAAGAATCTCAACGAACGCTTCGATCCTTTCTCTTTTCTTCTCTTTTATCTTCTTCTTTTCTCTTCTTGAACTCTCAAAACCCTAGATGTAAACTAGGATTATAAAACTGGACCTAATAGGATTAGAGCCTTAAAATATTATTAAAAATGAATTAAATCTGGTTGGGTAAGGAAAAGACCAAAATACCCCTCTTTATTTTCGGCTAACTTTCCTTAACTGGACAGCCTATCTTCAAAAGGTCATATCTCACTCATCCGACCTCGAAACATAGCAAACTCTACGGCGTTGGAAATATAATTCAAAGATCTTCGCTACGGTATCTGGTAGCACACCTAATTCATCCTGAGCTAGGAGTTATGGTTGTTTGAAGTTGACCCAAAACTCATACTTAAGCATAACTTGCAAAATTTCAGATTTTGCTATTTCCAATTTAATTCTTTTTGAAACTCAAGGTGCTACATCTAGTGACCTTAACACTTAAGAAATTTTAAAATCCTTGGTAAAATCTTACTCACTACGAAGAACGGTTCGACTCTTAGTTCAAAAAATTTCTGGGGTGTTACAATGTAGGCAGTATTTCCTGCTCCATTAACTGTCTTCCTCTTTGATTTGAATTCAGGAGGGTATCCAATTAACTTGTAACATTGATCTTTAGTATGACCCTTACACCTGCAGAATTCACAGAGAATACCAAAGTTTTTCTTGAACTTGTTAGGTACTTGTGCACTGGTAGACCCTCCAGATCTTGAGTACATTGCTAGTGGATCAACTCCAGACATACTTATAGAATTCATACCCATGCTATTACTGTTAGAAGCAAATCTTTGACACTCATCACTGACAACCATAGCATACGCCTGGTTCACTCCTGGTATAGGACTCATTAATAGAATTTGACTTCTAGCATGTCCATATGATTCATTCAATCCCATAAGGATTGATAGAGTTTTTGCTTGTTTACATGATCAATAAAACCTCTTGATCTTTCACAGTTACAACCAGAGGATGGAACTAGAGCTTCAAACTCATCCCACAAGTTCTTAAGTTTTGTAAAATAGACAGACACTGAATCTGTACCTTGCTGCAGTGTTGCAATTTCCTTATGCAGACTGAAGGTTCTTAATCCATCCATTCGATCAAATCTTTCCCTCAAATCATTCCAAACACTTTGAGCAGTGGAGGCAAAAACTACCCCTCCTAACAAACTTTTTGAAACATAATTGTGAAGCCATGAAAGAACCACATCATTTACTCTCTCCCATTGATTCCTTAGTTCAGGAGACACACCATCTTTTGTACATGAACCATCCACCAACCCAATCTTGTTCCTTCCAAGAAGAGACAATCTAATCGACCTGCTCCAAACATCATAGTTTCAATTCCAAGAAATTGAAATGAAATGAGATTAACTCCACTAATGTCAGTTGGGCTTAAGGATAGTGGATCATTGTAATCCATTCCTTGACTCATTGACGTAGCTGGTGTAGAATTATTGTTCCCAGGATTTCCACCATTACTGAAATCAGTAACATGGCCACCATTGTTAATTTCTTGAGACATATCAACCATCTTCACTTTGTAATTGCGGAAGTTTAATCAACTTGAGACTTTGATCTTCAGAAATCCAAGATCTATAACTCACACACCTGATCTACTCAGACTTTGATCAATGCTCGAATACCATGTTAAATTAGGTCTTAGGCCTAACTCACACCCCAAAAGCTAGCTCAAAGGGAGGAGGATTGCCCAAGCCTTATAAGGAGTCCACCCATCTCATTAACCACCGATGTGGGACTTTTATCATTCTTTAACACCCCACCTCACGCCCAGTGCTTAACATCTGGTGCGTGTGCAATTTTGATTTTTGGGGCGCAACATCGGGTGAGACGGGCCCTGCTTTGATACCATAAAGGTTTATAGAAGATGACTTTAAAGAAGAAAAAGATGAATTGAAACAGAGTAGTATATTATTTCTCCAGAAAAATTAATTTACATTGAGACTCTAGTCTTGTATTTATACACATGCTCATCCCTCTAATTGTTTCTTGAATGTAACTAACTTTTCCTAACTGACTAATAGTGTTCTAACTATAATTTGGACCTTTCCTCTTTTGCTTCTTGAGTTCTGTTAACACATTTCCATGTAAATCATTCAACATTTTGAAAATCTTCCCATATATTCTTAAATGAGAAGTATTGAAAACACTTCCAAACTAAATGCAAATTATTAGTTTTATTTTTGAACTATTAACAATCTTAAAAATACTCCTTTAATTTACTTGACTAACTAAACTTCAACACACCCCTAATCTTGCAACACGAGTGAAATATACCTCTAATTTTTCATCAAGTTTAGGGGTATTTTCAACACTTCTTTCGGCTTTTTATTAAGAGTCTCATGCTTCTACAAGAATTCGTGACCACTTGCTATATATGTCATATGACATATCCAAGGTGTATCTAAATTTAGTTAGTCAAGTAAAGAAATATTTTTGAGGTTGTCAATAGTTTGGAAACAAATCTAATAATTTTTATGCCAAGTTCAAAAGTTTTTTCAATACTTCATTCTTCTTAAATATATAAATATATATATATATATATATATATATATATTAAAAAATTAGAATAATAAAAAGATCCAGCCTCCAAATGGCTGTCAATATTCTTTTCAAAATTCAAATCTTATCTATAAATCTCTCTTATTTACTTCCCGTACAACGATCATAAGGTCCATATCTATTCAATATTCACACTTGCGTCAACATATATAATGTCCACTTCACATTCCTAGAAAATGGTTGAATCTATATAATAATTTAATTTAAGTTACTAAATACCATAGAGCATGTGGACATTATTCAATTTCGATTTTGTACTTGATACTCTTTCCATTGATTGACAATGATGATTTTTCACCCTTTTTTTTTATAGTCTATCTAAATCTAAATAATATTTGGCAACCCAAAATCTAGATTATTGTTACGCATGATGATAAAGACTTTATTTTTTTCAAAAAATATGTTGGCTTAGTCTCTCATCCAACGTTTGCTTCAATAGCTAAGTTGAAGTGTTCAATGCAAAGAAACAGACTTGTGGAAAACGATGATTAAAAATATTCCACCACCTTTTCAGTTCAACACTTGGACACGTTTGATATGATTGATAAAGAAAGATAATTCTACAATAACTTATTTTAGAATTAATAATTAGTACTGAGATAAGTTATTTCGGTCTTTGATTAGAAAAATAATCCTAAATAACTTGTTTCGAAATAAAATAGTTAAAACGATAAAATTATCCCTTCAAAATCCTTTTATACATCACTTATACATCTTTTACACTTATGAAATGTATTTTATAAACAAACAATTTATTCATAGAAATTATGCAATGCATTCATTAAGAGATCATATCAGAATAACTAATTCTAACATAACTAATTTTATTGTAACTTGTATTCAAACCAAATATTGACACTCGTAACTCTCCATAATCATATTCTTTGTAACACCCCAAAAAAATTTTGAGCTAAGACTTGAACCATCCTTCGTTGTGAGTAGGATTTTACCGACGAATTAAAATATCTTAGGTGTTAAGGTCACTAAATGTAGCACCTTGAGTTCCAAAAAGAATTAAATTGGATATAGCAAAATCTGAAATTTTGCAAGTTATGCTCAAGTTATGAGTTTTGGGTCGACTTCAAATGACCATAACTCCTAGATCAGGATGAGTTAGGTGTGCTACCAGATACCGTAGGAAAGACCTTTGAATTATCTTTCCAACGTCACCAAGTTTACTAAGTTTCAAGTTTGGATGAGTGAGATATGGCCTTTTGAAGTTAGGTTGTCCAGATAAGGAAAGTTAGCCTGAAATAGTAAAGGGTATTTTGGTCTTTTCCTTACCCAATCAGATTTAATTCGGTTTTAGTAAGGTTTTAAGGGTATAATCCTATTAGGTTCAGTTTTATAATCCTAAAATTAGACTAGGGTTTTAGTTGAGAGTTCAAGAGGAGAAAAGAAGAGAAAAGAGTAGAGGATCAAGCGTTCGTCGAGATTCTTGCATCTTGTTGCGAATTTTCGCCATGGGTTTAATCCCTAAGAGGTATGTAAGTTTCCATAGTGTTGGGTTTGTTCACCCACATGCCAAACATGTTATTTTCAGCGCAAATTTCATTCTTGAAGTTGAAAGATTAGAGTTCTTGATAAGTTCTTGATAGGTGTTCTTGAAGTTCATTCTAAATCTTGTTGTGTTGGGTTTTGGATGATTTCTTGAGATAAAAGTGAGTGTTTTAAGGGATGTATTGATTAGATTAGAGTGTACCCATGTTAAGTAATTTATTCTAAGTGATTCAGGAAGAAACCGTTCGATTCTAGGCGAGTTAGGGTGAGAAAACGAGCAAAGAAGTTCGTCAGATTTTCTGTGTTGGGGGCCTGGCGCGATGTGCCTGCCAGAGCGCCCCAAACCCTCCTCTGAATGTTAGGGGTTGGCGCTCCGCGCCACCCATAGCCCCAGGGTCTCCTGCCCCTCAAATTTGTCGTCGGTTACCCCGTTTGAGTTTGTTTAAAGTGCACCTTCACTCCTTTTCGATTCTAACTACTCTAGGCTACTTCTAAACACCTAAAATCATTCATAACATGATCATAGCCTTGAATTCATAAATCAAATTCAAGGTAGAGTTAAGAGTTAAGTTTTGAGAATTCTTTCGAACATTCTAAGAAAGTCCCTTTGAGTTCTTCTGAGGAGTCTTCTACAACTTCTAGTAACTTGTTTCAAGACTCGAACAAGTGAGTATGAGAATAAGGAGAATGTATTCATGAGTCTACTTTTTCATCACGAGATCCTTCTTATCATGAACCATAACTTTTGAATTCATAATTCACATTCAAGAGAGAGTTAAGAGTAGAGTTCAAGAAAGCCTATGAGTTCAATTGTGAATCTTTTGAGATCCATCATCAATTTGAGTTACGTTTTGAGGAAGTAAGTAAAAGAAAGAGAAGAGTTGTATACATGAGTTCCATAATGTAGTTTGTAGACCTTCGAGTCAAGTCGTTCATGCCCATAAATTCCGCATGAACTCCATAAGTTAAGTACCTATGAGAGGAGTAATATCTCCATGTCCTAAGTCTTAAGTATTGAGTTTATAACCCATTTGAGATTATAATCCTAATCATGTGACTATTACCTATTACCCATGAAGTCCATGAGTTGAGTTGTTCATGCCAATAACTCCGCATGAACATTATAAGTCGAACAATCTTGAGATGAGAAGTATCTTTTAGACCTTGTGTTGAGTAGTTCATGATCATAAATTCCGCATGAACCCTCTGAGTTGAGCATTCTTGAAGTGAGTAGTATTATTGAAGTTCTTGAGTTCCAAGTATTTGAGTTCTATCTATGGTTATTGAAAACCTTGCATTGAGTCGTTCACGTCCATAATTCGGCATGAACCTCATTTTAAGAAGTCTTTTACAAATGTTTTAACTTTGTTTTAAGACTAAAAGTTTCAAGTCAAGCAAAGATTAAAGAGTTGAGTCCATTTCTCAAAAAGCTATAAGGGAACTAAGTATTCCTAAAGAGTTTATAAATGTTTTCAAATTTGAGCAAGAAAAGGGAACATCGATTCCAAGAGAGCTTTTTAAGCTAAGTTTTGAGTAATTTTCTCAATTCAAAGAAAGAGTTTTGTTTTTACAAACATATGAGCTAAGTATATTTTGGGAGTAGTATTGTGCCCGATATGGGGATGTGAGTTCATATTAACTCAAGTCTCCATAAACCATGTAGCCATCATGGATAGTAAATGATCATACTTTTTAGATGGCTCCTTCAGATGCTTTTAGCATAGACTAGTGGATCTACTAAGTTAAGCGTTCTATATGACGGCAAAGTATAGGACAGTTCTGGCAGCGTGGACAAGACGTTGTATCACCACTTAGGCATATAGCGGTTGTTGTCGGTTAGAGAATCTCCCACAAAAACTATATTATTTTATTATGTAAGTAAAGTTGAGTTTGTTATTGCATTTTCTTTAACGAACTTATTTGTTTTACTGTTTTATAAAGTTTTCCATATGTTGCATGTGTATTGTTGCTTTATATTGAGCTGAGTATCCAAAGTTGAGTACCCAGAGTCGAATATCATATCCTTGAGTTGAGTATCTTATCCTTGAGTACTTCTGAGTTGAGTAAGTTTGAGTAGTTTTGAGTAGTTTAGAGTATTCCTTGAGTTGAGTAAGATTGAAAAGGGGTAAGTATGTTTCCTTCTTATCAAGTTTCAAGCTTATGTTATGCTTTAGAATTCCTCTTACGTGCTCGTACATTCCACGTACTTAGCCATTTGGCCTGCATCTTCTCATGATGCAGACACAGGTATTCAGGATCATCAACAGGAGCTTCGTTGATACATCCAAGAGTTCGAGTTAGCTATGGTGAGCCTCCTTCATTTCGGATGATTTCATTTACTTTTCAGTTTAGTCAGGATGTCATGGGTCTTGTCCCGACTTCCATCGTTATCAGTTAGAGGCTTCATAGATAGTCAGTATAGTTGAGAACTCTGTATTATTTTTATTAAAT